TTGGATTTTAGACTAATGTAGAAAAATTATATTAATCATTGTTTCAAACAGTATAGCAGAAGTTACCATGCATCTCCACAGGGTAGAATAAAGCGTAGAAATGTAGGAGTGCTTGTCAAGCCTAGTGAGTTTTTATTTTATTCAAAAAAAGTCAGTTTTTCTCCCACAAATTTTGCCCCCTGATGTTGCTAGTGAGGTTATTATGAATGCCAAATTCATGCCATTAAGCACTCAAGATGATTTCTTCCTTTTAATCTAGGTAAAGTGTATGAAATTTTTTAACTATGAATTTAATGGGTCTCACAAGCAAATCACTAATTGGACAAAAAAAAATCTAAATCATGCTAATGCTGCTCTGACAACCAGAAATCAAGTGCACTGAAATTTGGTCTCATTAAAATAATAAAAATATATTAGAATTGTACAATTGTAAAAAAGTTATGTTGGCAACTTTTATTTAAAAAGTATTTTTATCTAACCCTGTCAACACTGTAGACAGTTAAATTAGTCCTACTGACAGGCCTAATTTTCTCTATAGTTGGGATTTATGGGAATTTCTCAACCAAAATATATATCTTTATGAACATTACATTAATCGCTTCATTATATTTATGGAAATTTAAGATTCATATCACTTAAGAGTAATTTGGTTTTAATAACACAATTTCTTAGAGTGAAAAATAATCTTTTTGATGCATCACTGGCAATTTCCGGATCCACTAGCAGATTATTGACCCAGGGCCTAAGGTTGAGCTTTGATATTTGAACTGAGGGAATCAAAATTGCAGGGATTATTTCGTTCTAGTTAGCAGTGTCACATATTAAATAATTAAAGAAAAATATGTAGAAAATACAAAGAAAAAGTATGATTTGAAATAAAATATTTATTAAATCATCACTCCTTGCATATGACTGTTAATAGAATGGACAGTAAAATTTAAACACATCTTTTCTTACACCAATAGTTAGTTTATCTCATGCAAAAAAAGATATTAGAGAATGTATCTTTTCTTATATATATATAGTTACATATCCATATATACACAAGAAAGGTTTGTTCCTCAGTTCTATCTGTATGAAATATAGATCATTGGGAGAACACTATGCATCTCTGTGGATTCAAATGTCCAATATTCTTTTCACACCATGTTCCTGTGTAACCAATAATTAGTTTATTTATTTATTTTTTGGGTCACACCTGGCAATGTACAGGGGTTACTCCTGGCTCTGCACTCAGGAGTTACTCCTGGCGGTGCTCAGGGGAACCATATGGTATGCTGGGAATCGAACCCGGGTCAGCCGCATGCAAGGCAAACGCCCTACACCCTTAGTTTATAGAATGTGAAAATTATTATTGACTAAAAACAATTCTTCAGAAAATGCTTTGGGGATAATGCTATTGTTTCTTAAACATTTGTTATTTCTCAGAACACAATTTTTCTTTCAAGTATTAGGGATGATGAACATATTTTATATGCGCTATTAATTTCTTATAACTTTATGGAAGCAATTATGATACAATTTTTCTTATGATACATTTATAAGATTTTTGGGAGACAATTTACTTCAAATTTGTTGGATATAGACTCAAAACTCTCTGTATTTCTTTTTGTTTTTCCCAATAATAAAGTGACAGAACAGAGTAAGATCCAGTTACTTTACCTTATTTATACAGCTGTACTTTATTGAATGAAAGCTTGAGTTACACAGTTTGTGATAGGAAGTAAATGCTTTTTAAAACAACTGATGAGACAGGTCTTTAACCTCTACCTTTGTGGAATTTTTGTTCCACAACTTAGCTTCTGTGGGGGTTTAACTACTGTTATAAGGCAGTAGCTTCAGTAGATAATATTTGTGAGTTAAACTTCATCTGATAAACTATTTCGTGTGAATTTATAATATGAATTATTATAAAAGGGTGAGTTTTTAAGACAAATCCTGAGCTGAAGAGATGGTACCAGAGATAAGGTGCTTGCCTTGAGTACTGCTGACTCTGGTTTGATCCGCAGCATATTTAGCATACACAAAAATTCTAGGAGCTGTCCTTATTCTAAACATATATGATTGTATAGATATAATGACTCTATAAAAATGCTTGATGAAAATAATCAACTTGCATTTTCTTTTTCATTATGACGACAATGAGTAATTATCTGGGACAATTTTTTAAATAATATAATGTTTTGGTAAAGTATGAAAGAGTTTTATTTGTTTATAAAATATAGAATACCCTGACCACTTCATGTTTGTAAACAAAAAGTTACACCTTAAGTGTTAGGAAAATTGGCAATGATTTTCCATAGAACAGTTGCAATAATTTCTACAAATTTTCAGAGTTCTTTAAAAATTATCAGAAACACTACTCCAATTCCTCCAATAGGGTTTCTAGAGTCTCTTCTGCCCACCCCTCCATCTCTCAAGTCCTAACTTTATTGATCACGTCTCAGGGTCTATTTGCATTGTGGATTGTCTAATCTCTTTCATTGTTTTGATATGCTCCTCATATGAGTGAGATAATCTGGTATTTATCTTTTGTTTTCTGAAATTTAATTTGGCAAGATACCAATTCCATTGAGGTTGGAGCAATCTGCAAAAATATTATAGTTTCTTAGAGTTGAATATTCCATTGTTTCTGTGTATGTATGTGTGTACATATATATATATACACATGTTCATGTGCATATATACACAAAATTCTTTATCCATTCATCTGTTGTTGGTTACTTTGCTATTATAAATAATGCTTGTTGAACATAGAACATAAATCTTTTCAGGTTAATGATTTTGGTATTGGTGTAGAGCTCTGTAAATATGCTTGAGCGGGCCCAGTAACGTCTCCATTGTGAGACTTCTTGTTACTGTGTTTGGCATATTGAATACTCTTGGTAGCTTGTCAGGCTCTCCAAGAGGGGCAGAGGAATCGAACCTGGCTTGACCAGGCTGGTTGTGTGCAAAGCAAATGCCCTACCACTGTGCTATTGCTCCAGCCCTTTTTTTAGTCATTTAGTCATCGCTCCAGCAATTTTTTAGTCATAAAAATAAGAAGGATTATTAATACTAATTAGAATTCTATATTCTTTTTTTTTTGCGTTTTGGGTCACACCCAGCAATGCACAGGGATTACACCTGGCTCTGCGCTCAGGAATTACCCCTGGCGGTGCTCAGGGGACCATATGGGATGCTGGGAATTGAACCCGGGTTGGCCACGTGCAAGGCAAACGCCCTACCTGCTATGCTATTGCTCCAGCCCCAGAATTCTATATTCTTAAATTTGTGTTTATGACCATACTATATCTCACTTTTTATTAGTAATATCTGTGTACATGGATATAGTTGTCAACTCTTGAGAATACTTTTGATAAAGTTTAGAGCATAAATGATGAGCTCAAAATAGTGGGTGCTTATTATGCTTATTACGCTTGTACATAGCCCTTTGTAATATAAACACATCATTATTTTTTGAAATGGATATGCAAGACTTTTACATTATGTCTTTGCCTAATAATAAATATGTCTATAGATTTAGCAACTTGGATAGTGTTGCAGTTTGTATTTATAACTATATACATTTGGCTTTCTTTCTAAGGGATAATTTCTGCAAGTGGGAAAAATTTCTCTAGGGCTTATAAGACAATTCTCTTTTAAGGTGAAAGATCATTGGAGAATTTACTAATAAGTGCTTGACTTTGTTTATTGGGAGAAGAGTGCTAATAGCAAAGTGTAGAAAAGGGTCTCTGTTGGTACAACTGTAAACTGATTAATAATTTATAAAACACACTATGACGATTTCTGAAATTATTCAAAAGAAAAATATCTGAGCTTGTAATTTTACTCCCAGTTATTAACTATCAAACACAAAAATATTCACTAAATAAGATTCATGCACTTCTATATTCATTGAGGTGCTATTTTAGCAAATATCTGAAAACAATCCAGGAGCTCAAGGACAGAAGACTGGATAAAGAGCTTTGGTGAATATATACATAACCGAATGTTGTTCATTATAAGAAAAGATAAGACCTTGCATTTTGCTGCAATATGGATGAACTGAAGGGTGTCACACTAAGTAAAAGTTATCTGAATTAGAAATACAGATAATGAATGATTTCAGTCATAAGCAGTACTTAAAGCAACAAAGCAGGAGATAGACAATGCCTGGTAATAACAAACCCTTAGGTCAGAGCAGTAGTACAGTGAGTAGAACACTTGCCTTACACATGGACAACCCAGGTTCAATCCCCCACACCACATATGGTCTCTCAAGCTTACCAGGAGTGATCCCTGAGCAGTTCTTGATGCGGTCAAGAAAAAAAATGAAGAAATAAAAATAAAAATAAACCCTTAGGTTCATGATCTCAGCTGAGGCTACCTTAGTGGGGAGAGAAGAGGGGAATGTTCCTTTGGACAGTGACAGAAATACTGACACTTGGGTGTTCGGTGTAGTATGGAAACAGTGTACCTGTAAAACTTATAATAAACATTTATTAGAGTAATTAATTTGAGCTCAAAATTATGAAAAAGATAGTTTTTAGTTATGGATATCATAAAATGCTATTTCATTCCAAAATATAAGCACCAATTTGTTCTCTTATAGAGTTCTTCTTTAAAACTAAGTAATCATATGCTGAAAAATTATTAGTATCCATAATCTACATTGCTATAACATTACCACTTAGGTTTATGATCTGTCATATTATAATGTCTTCAAAGTATAATAAAGTTATTTTACTAAAATAATTTTATTTGCCAGAGCATCACTGCTTAAATCATACATGGCATTTACACTGGCTATGCTACAATTGTTTTTGTTTATAATTTTTACCCTCCCTGCTTCTGAAAGTGGTTTGAAGCATCTTATTTTATTTAAAATATCTTGATTGGCTTTTAAAAGTGGTCCAGATATTTATTCTTCATTTTATAGAGCAGCATGCATAATAAAAAATAGACATTTTATTTTTGCATCTTTACTTATAACTCATTTCAAATTATGCCTTTTACAGAGGTTAATATTATGTGGGCTGGACACCAAACACATCACAGTTCTGAAGATTATAACTTATCAACAGCGCTGAGGCAATCTGTAATACAAGTCTATACTTCCTGGGTAAGTTGTAAGAAATTGAACATGTGATGATATAATCCATTTTAAAAAGTGTCTACTGTTTTTATTTCCTCAGAGTAAACTAAGATGTCTTATTAAAATACTTCTAACTTTTTGCTCTTCTGTAAAGCTACACAGTAAAAATATTTCTCTTTCCTTTGTACAACCAGACACACATGAATTAAATGATATTTTCCAATGTTAGTATTATATTTTATTCAAAAGACTTACTTTGAGGTATAAAGTAAGATGAAAACATGGCCATTTTGTATTTAATATCATTAAGAGAAAATAATGTATAGTTTCTTCTGTTCAAATATATGCAAATATTTCATTAGAAACTCAGAACAGAAGACTTATAAAAAGCAGTTCTTGTATCCTGAACTCCAAATAATGTATACTTAAATCCTTTGGACTGTGTTTACATATTATATTAGCTAATATAATGCTTAATAAAAAGCTTGGTTCTAAAATATTTTCACAGAAGGACATGTCAAGACCAAAGAACAAAAGATTTTTCTTCTAGTTCTAAGGGGTTCCCTTATTCACTGGGAATACATGTTCCACTTTTTCACATTTTATCTTCTGAATTCTCTAAACTATACTGTGCTGTAAAAGGACATGGAGATGGTAAACTAGAAAGTCAGATTTTTTTGTTTGTGTTTTGGGCCACACCCAGCTGTGCTCAGGGTTTCCTCTTGGCTCTTCACATAGGAATTACTGCTGGTGGACTTGAGGGACCATATGGGGTGTCATAGATAGAACCCAGGTGAGCTGTGTGCAAGGCTAGCATTTTAATCTGCAGTGCTATTACTCCCACCCTAAAAGACAAATTTTATTTAGTGTAAGTGCATTTATCAGTAAGATCATCACTATCCCTAAATGTAATATCTGACATTTTCATGGCTGCCTGGTTCTTCCTATTTGTTGAGTACTCTACATTTATTGAGATCTTAGTACTTTTATGAGACTTCAAAGTTTTAATTTAACATTAAGACACAGGAACTATTTATCTTAGCAGCTTTGAAGTACAGGAACTAATATCTTTATTCTTTAAATGATAGAACTGAGTGCATTGTACAGTAACAAAATTAGGAAAGTGAGAAATAAAATTTACCTCCTTCCAACTGACTGCATGGTTCCCTACTTAACCTCTACATTAATTACAACCTCGGCTATGTGACTGTCATTGTTCATTTCTGTCTCATTAGGCTACAAAAAATAAGCCTCTATTAAGCTATTGTCAGAGAACCAAAACATATAGATTGATTTTTACATTATGTAATATAATTTATGTATAATTATAAATAATGTATCATTTATTCTGTATATGCCCTAATTTTGATTCTGAAATTTTGGATGAATACATTTGGAATTGCCTAATTTAAGACTGACTTTGAGTTTCAGTGTATGGAGAGGGTCCAATAAGCCTCAGATAAGGAAAAAATCTATAAATACTACCTCTTAAGAAATAGCTGCATTCATGCAAAGTTTGTATTGTGTACAAAGTAATGGAAAAATAATTATCTCAATACTATATATATGCTCCTGACAATATTTTATTTTGCATGGGGATATCTAAAAACTCCAGTAGTTGCAACTCATGAAAAAATTCTACCAGAAACAATGTAGATATATTTAAAATTTCCCCCAGGACATAAATAGTGATTAATTGATAATTATTAAAATTTATTTAACTGAGCATCATAAATTTCAAATCAATAAGAAATCTTGGCGATGATACTTAAATAATTGGTTTTACAAGATGTACTATGATTCTCAGATGAACCCACTACATCATAGATCTTGAGTAGAAACATCTGATTTCCAATTTATGACTATCTTTATCTTGTTTTCTGTGTCTTTTCACCTACTAAATCATGCAAAGTTATAGAATAATAAAAATCTAAGAGAAATAAATGTTAATACTTATTTATTATATGCATAAATTCCTTCATATAATTTTCCAAGGACACTGAAAATATGATGAATAAGAAATTAATCCTGGGAATATATCCCCAAATGCTAATATTTTTAGAATGGAAGGAGGACGTGGGAGTAGGAGATTCTATACTATGAGAATGAAAGGCAAGGCTTTTAAATCAGTCTGAGTCCTTGTAGGTCTGCTAAAAAATAACTAAGGTTGTTTAAGGATCTGAGATAGGTGCTTTAAGCCTTAAAACTGGAACATTTGTCAAGTCTACCTCTTCTTTTTCTTATAATTGTTTGTAAGATTCTCTTCAGCATAGCTAGTTTAGGCATGTAACTTGGTAGTTGCCAAGACAACACTGTTTTTGAACAAATAATAAATGACTCATATTTTTGCAGTGAATATTGATTTGAAAAATGAAAAGAAAAGCTATTTTCTGAGTGCTTTTCTTCATGATTGCTAAGGCAAGTAGTGTGGCAGAGTGACATTAAAAGTAAAAATAAAGATTTAACTTGCAAAAATTCCTAAGCAGACATTTTTGCACTTTTAGCCAGCTTCAAGCTCTGACTTAATATTATTCACCATAAAACTTTTGATTCATGTATGACATACCATTTTAACTAAGACTTATTTACTCTATTATACAATATATGAATCTGCATGTTATATTCCTCAAATGTGGCGCTTTTTGCTATTTTGTGTGATATTTTACTTCTATATACAACGTGTAGGGTGTTTGCCTTGCACGTGGCAGACCCAGATTCGATTCCTCCATCCCTCTCAGAGAGCTCGGCAAGCTACTGAGAGTATCCCGCCTACATGGCAGAGCCTGGCAACCTCCCCATGACGTATTCAATATACCAAAAACAGTAACAACAAGTCTCACAATGAAGACGTCACAGGTGCCCACTTGAGCAAATCGATGAACAATGGGAGGACAGTGCTATTTTACTTGCATAAAAGACATACTTTAGCATCTTATTTGGCTAAACAAAGAAAATCCAAATGATTTTCACTTTGACAATTTTGGGGACCGAAAATGGCATGATTTATTTTATAGTAGTCATTGAAGAGTTAATTTACCCTGAGGAACGCATATTATTAACCTCCTTCCTCATGAACTACTTAGCACAGGCTAAGTACTTATCATGTATTTCTCATATAATTCCTGATTTTATTGAACTATTTATTTTAATTATGTTAGCTTTTTTATGATGTATGCATTATTCAGTAAGCTTTGGTATTTGGGGAGTCTGGGAGCATTCAGTATTTTCCATATCAGTAATTGCAATTGCTTCTTCACTTTCTACCTTATGAGACTATGGAAGTTTGTATCAAGATTCTTTGCTTTCTTACACACAAGGAACCTATAATACAATTTGACAGACTTTTCATTTTGCAAATAAAAAAAGTTTTTTAATAGATATTGTTATATATAATGTAATATAAAATAGGATTAAATTTTATTTTCTCCATCTTATAAAGATCCTCAGTACTATGGTTTTATATGCAAGATATAAATAAAGAAGATTAAAGAATGTGGTACATTAAGTTTTATAGTATCCAATGGCCAGAATATGGAAACATTTAAAAAATAAAACGAATATATAATGAATTTTTTGCAGTTTTGGAGTTATAACAAAAGTATATAATAAATGAAATTAATTACTACTGTCATAGATAAATTATTGAATGCCAATAATTGAGGATAAATAATTGTGCCAGATATTTTAAAGAGTTTCCATTATGAAAGATAAAATTGTCTTGTAGTGGTGAAATTAATGCTGTGTATACATATGATTATTTTATTGATATAGAATTGAAATTTATATAAGGTATGGAAGTTAAATTTGTGAAAATTACTTTAAAAATAATTTAAAAGTAATTCAAATATTATATCTTGCTACTGCTTACCATCACTAAGAAGATAAAACTTAATATCCCTTTTACTTTGCCATTCCATTTTTGCTGGATTCTCTTCTTAGTAAATTTCTTGTAGGCCCTCCCGTTGTTCATCGATTTCCTCGAGCGGGCCCAGTAACATCTCCATTGGAGACTTTGTTGTTACTGTGTTTGGCATATGGGATATAGCACGAGTGGCTTGCCAGGCTCTGCCATGTGGGCGAGATACTCTTGGTAGCTTGCTGGGCTCTCCGAGAGGGGCGGAGGAATCGAACTCGGGTCAGTCATGTTGGCAGCGTGCAAGGCAAACACCCTACCGCTGTGCTATGGGAAAGGAAAAACAGACTGAGTAGGCTGGGATGATAACTTCAGAGTGGAGAATTTTTAATATAGCAGTAATGTCTTATTGGTAGTGTGTACCATTTGATACAAGTTGTGACTATGACAAGTTGTGACTATTTGATACAAGTTGTGATCTTCTTTTCACAATCTCAATCTCCAAAATCCATAACACCAGTCTAATTGTGAGACAAGGCATGTATCATGCTCAGATTAAGGGGTAGTACAAAAAATAACTCATTAATAACTCCTAGAAAGTGTAAAGGTTTTGAAACTCAAGGAACATTTGACAAACTCAGAAGAGGAATTAATGAAATATAAAGACTAAAGCAATGTGTCTTAGAGTGGATCTTAAAAGAAAAAGTACATAGGGAAGCCAGTGAAATCTAAATACTTTTTATATTTTAGTTAGGCTTTTTAGTAGTAATGCTAGGTTGTTTTCCATTTTTTGACAATGTAGCATACTAGTAGCAACAATAGAAACTAGGTGGAGGAAACTATACTATTTTGCAGTTCTGTAGCAATTATAAAACTTAATAATATATGTATGGGTTTGTTTGGGGGGGTGGAGATGGGATCCAGAGATATTGTATAGCGTGTAAGGCAATTCCTTGCATGTGGCCATCCTAGGTTTAATACTCGAGACCTCCCAAGATTGATTCCTGAGGAAAGAGCCAGGCATCTAGAAGCCCTGAGAACCTCCTGGTATGGCTCCAAAACAACACAACCATAGAAAAGTATATGGGAAGGGGAGGTATAAAGTTTCTTACGTGCAGCCAGTCCAATTCAATTCCCGTATGACATGGTCCCCTAAGCACCACTGGGTCTCACACTAGATGACCCCAGTACTGCTGGGTTGATATGGGTAGTCTCTTGACTTTAGAAACTGAGACGCAACAATCCTCAGGAAATCAAATTGAGTGTTTTGTCAACTCACTTATCCACTTTTTATTTGGTCTCAAATTTCCAGGTGGGTTTCCTGGGCCTCCTGAGCACTGCTTGAGAATCCACATGCCCTACCAAAGAGTGTATCTGGAATAAGAGACTAGTATTCTTTCATTGTTCACCAGTTCATTGCTTAGTAATATATTTATAAATAATAAAAGTTACCTGCTTCTGATGACAATTGAGATTTTTCATGATTTTAGGCTATAAATTAAAGCTTGGCAAATGATGTATTTAAGATGCATCATTGTTACTAAACATTATGAAAATGATAATTGAGAAAAAACTATTCGAAAAATTTACAATTAAGATGAAAATACTCAGAACTGTTTTCAAAATATCTGGTCTTTGGGAAATAATACCTACAAAATTCAGATGTAAAATGGAAATCAGATATTGTTTTATTCTACTTCATTGTTTAGTGACCCATTTGACTAAATGTCTTCTTAAAATATAAATCCAGTTTGGGGAATCAATATTGCTAGGCAAACACAAGCGATTGTGTTTATTAGTTAATTGTAATAATTCTGTTGCTTAAATATAAATTGTAAAAGTTTTTTTCCAAGTAAGGATATTTTTGTTAAGAAACATGGAACTTGGGGGTATGGTGCCATCAGTAGGTCAATCTGTACCTGTGAGGCGAGTGCATCAGAAGCCTAATGGTGCCTTCAGACTTCTAGATTCCCCAAAATTGCTGCTGTGCTTTTAACGAGACCCCAACAACTTGTAGCTAAGTTTACTAAGAAAGTAAACAGCCAAAAATTAGGTATGTGGGAGACACACCCACAAAACACCTCCAGCTCAGCTATATTATTGGAGGCAAGACCTCTCAGGTTCCTGATCAAATTGCTTAACGGCCATAATTTCAGAGACTCAGGAACAAATCTCTGAACCCAGCAGGTTTTGGCAGAAATCCCTCCAGATTTAATTGTTAAAATTTCAGAATTCCAAAATTGTGTGGCCATTACTGCGGCCACGTGACATATGTTATTCATAAATTAGCAATAGAAAACAGATTGTCTACAGTTGCCTTTTCAGCAGATCTGAGTGTTGAGGTAAAATCCCAAATAATAATTGTATGTCTGGTGTTGAAATAGTGAATGTGATCAAAATCGACAGAGAGTAATATGGAAATCATCTGCCCCACAGGTAGGGAGAGGGTATAGGATAGGGGGTATACTGGGGTTTTTGGTGGTGGAAAATGGGCACTGGTGAAGGGACGGGTGTTTCATCATTGTATAAGGAAGACTTAGACCAGAAAGTTTTGTAACTGCTCTCATGATGATTCAATAAATAAATTTATAAAAAGAAAAAAAAGGAACCTAAAAATGGTTATTAATATGCACCATATTATAATCCTTTATTAATTTAAATAAAGAAATTAATAAATTTCTTTAATTACGTATTCGATATGCCAAACACAGTAACAGTTGTAACAATGGAAACGTTACTGGGTCCGCTTGAGCAAATCGATGAACAGTGACAGTGATTAATTTAAAAAAGATTAAGAAACATCAATCCTTAAACAAAGCCATGAAACAAATTTAAATAATAGCACAGCGGGTAGGGCGTTTGCCTTGCACGCAGCCAACATGGCCGACCCGAGTTCGATTCCTCCGCCCCTCTCGGAGAGCCCGGCAAGCTACCGAGAGTATTTGATATGCCAGACACAGTAACAACAAAGTCTCCAATGGAGACGTTACTGGGTCCGCTCGAGCAAATCGCGGGAGGGCCTTTACTTTACTTTATCCTTGTAAATTTTTAATAAATATTTTATATAAATATTATAAATATTTTTTTGTAATTTAATTTTATTAGCAAGAATGCTGGGATTAATATAGATTTTAGATGATATCTAGGTATTAAATATGTACACTTAGTTGTTTCTGGGAAACATACCAACTTTTTCAATATTAACAAAATGACATACTTTACATGATATTTTAATTAGAAAACATTGAATATGAAAAGAAATCCAATGAATGTAATACCAACATGCCAGCAACTTTAGCAACATGCAGAAAATTTATGTTGCTAAGTCAAAAGTGGAAATAAAGTATACAGAATAAGGTGTTTTTACAGTCATTTATAATCAAAATGTTGAATGGTAGCAGTAGTATGTTTGTTGAAAAATCACATTTACACATGTAAATTTTTTTAATCTTTCAGATATTCTATATACCGCTGGCCCTCTTCATACCACCATCTGTATATGCTGTTCATATTCAGTTCAATCTCCTCTATCAATTTTGGATACACACAGAGGTAAATATGTATATTTTTAAGCTTTACGCCTAAATAGACTAAAGCAATGTCCTGGAAATCCACTAGAAGCTGATTTATTGTGTAAGAAAAATCTTTGTCTGCCTTCTTTAAGGAGAACCATCTGTTCATTTTTATTTCTCTTTCTGAATATATATTGCAAAGGTTATAAGACGAAATGAGGCCAGTTGGTCTCAATTAAATAGAACAATTTTTGAACTATTAAGTACCAAAACATTTTAATATTATATTTAATAAATATCTTCCTGTATTACACTTATTAAATTTTTTGCCAAAAGTTGTTGAAAAAATTTTAATTTAAGAGTATAAATATGTGTCATATATTTATAAGTGCATCTCTATATTTACAAATATTTATATTTTATAAAAATATTTTATAATATAATTATTGTATAATAAACTATGCTCCTTTGTAAATATCTATACTATCATACTTTTAAATTTATAGATAATATATATTTCCATGGTACTTCTTTGAAAAAGATTAATGGTTAAAGTAATTATCAAAGCATTTTATTCCAAGGCATGACTTAATTTTTGAAGTTTGCATATTATTAAATACTCTTAGATAAATTGCTGTTTTTTAAACCCCAAAACAATTAACTGATATAATTTCCTAGGCTTTCTGTGGTATCTCAAATTGTCAGTCTTGAATATTTGCAGATAGATCATTAAGCAGCTGATTGGTTTATGAACTATTGCACTGATCTGGTTGTTAAATATCAAAACTCACAGTCCTGAAAAATTCTTACTTATACACCTGAGAACCCTTTCAAACATTTGGCATTTATTGGAACTCTTTTGAAGTTCTGTGGGAAGTACATTTGACAGGTGCTACAAGTGGTGGGTCAATACTGCAAATCCCAGCTGTTTCAGTTGCCAGATCTTGATGCCACAATGCTCATTATTTCATTAATCTGCAATATTTCATGCTACTGATTCACTTGGAGTAAAAATACTGCTAGCATGACTTTGGACGTATGTGACATTTTTTGAAGGTCTGTCAAGAAATAGTATTGCATTTTATGGTAGTTAACATATATCAAACAGTCAGTACTACAAGCGTCTGAAAGAGTTGTTGAGGCCAGTTCTACTTTTAGAGGTCAAAGATCAAATTTGTTTAAATCAGTGAAGGGATGATGATTTACAGAGGGGCGGGGGCAAAGAAGAATTACATTTTTATAGCAGTTCTGCTACAGATTATGAGTCATGTTGTGTTTGTAGAACAATGGTGCTGAAGTACCTTCTGCCTATTACCAGTTTCCTCTGAGAGATCCACAAACCTGGGCTTCTATCTCCGGACGTAAAGGGAAATTAAGGGAAAACCAAAAATGAGAAATTCCTTTCAAGCTTTTACCCTTTGCTTTGGTTCATTTTCAACTCAAAAGCAATGCCTTAGAACTTCTTGCGTATGATGTACTTCATACTTTAGAAATAGTTGTATATCTACTATTTCTGAAGCATTAAGTTCTTAACTTGTGTAGCTTAACTGCTAAGCAAGAAGCAAAAATATATCTTTTTTTGATGGGTTTGGATGTTATTTTTTTTCTTTTGGAATTCAACCAATACTTTGTATATTCCTGATATCAACCCCTTGTCAGATGTGTATTGGGAAATATCCTTTCCCATTCTGTAGACTGTCTTTATATTTTGGTCAATGTTTCTTATGAAACATTCTTATGAAACATTCTGCACTTGTTTGTTCATTGCACTACTGTTTACAGTAGTTAGAATCTGGAACAAACCTGAGTGCCCAAGAACAGATGACTGGTCAAAGAAACTTTGGTACATCTACACAATGGTGTACTATGTAGCTATTATAAAAAATGAAGTCATGAAATTTTACAAACAAGTAGTACTACATGGAAAGTATCATGCTAAGTGAAATGAGTCAGAAAGAAAGGGACAGACAGAAAGATTGCATTCATCTGGTGCACATAAAATAACAAAATAGGAGCTAACACTCAAGAATAGTCGAGATAAGTACCAGGAGGTTTACTCCATGGCTTAGAGGCCAGCCACACATGCTAGGGAAAAAGGCAGCTCAGATAGAGAAGGGAGCACCAAATAAAGGGTGTTGGTAGGGTCCTCCCAGGATGGGAGATGCATGCTGAAAGTAGACTATAGACTGAACATGATTGTCACTCAATGCCTCCTTTGCAAACCACAGCATTCAAAAAGAGAGAGAGAACAAAAGGGAATGCCCCGCCACAAGGCAGGGTGGGAATGGGGGGATGGGGGTTGGGAGGAATACTGGGATCCGTGGTGGTGGAAAATGGGCACTGGTGTAGGGATGGGTACTTAATCATTGTATAATTGAAACCCAAGAACAAAAATTTGTAAGTCTACAACTGTACCTCATGGTATTTTACTAATAAAAATGTTTTAAAAAATATATCTTTAGCTGTGAAAACGGATTTTAAGGTTTTTTAAACAGGGATGTATTTACTTAACTTCATTATTATAGTCATTTCTTTACAGACAATAATGATTCAGGAAGAAGAATAAAAGAATTTATAACAGTGATTGATGCTAAAAAAAAAGTCAACTTTGAAACAAACAACTAGACTGAGTATGAGATAGTATTTTATTTTTACTATTTCCTTGTCCTGCTTTTTATAAGTTAGAGATTAATTGAGGGTGATTCAGAAGTCTAGAAACAAACAAAACACAACACACACACACACACACACACACACCAAAATACATAATAAAAAGGCTTTCAATCTAGAAAGCTTTTCATAAAAAGACTAAAATATGAGTTCATTTAAGCTGCTTATGCACTATTTAATTTAGAAATGAGGTTAGGATCTTTGTTAAGAAATAATGATATGCAAGTCACAGCTTTAAGTCTTAAGTAACAGAGAGCCAAAGAGTTCCTGGTATGCATCTGAAAGGAAGTTTTATTCTCATAAGTTGTGTCTCTTTGTATTCAACCACAAAATCCTTGCTCACCAGAAGCCAAATCTAAGGATAATGTCCTGTAGTTTCTAAAAGTAGAAAAGAATTCATATATTTCAAGCAATTCAAATATGTTAAGATGAAGGAAATAATAGCATGTTTTTAAAGGGTTGAGGATGCTACACAGAGGTTAATGTGCATGCCTTCAGTTCACCCAAATGTATTACTATGGTGTGGTCCAGATGGTCCCTAGTATTAGAGGGTCTGAGCAGCACCAAATTGTCAGGCCCTGGTATTGAACTATCTGGCTTTGAATCTTGATGTGAATTTGCCAGTAATACTTCCCTTAAAAGAGGAGAGGGAAAAAAACAACAATTTTAACTGATCATGTATGAGAGAAAAAAATTCTGTAATATATATATAAGAAAATATGTGTAATTATTTTCATTGTACCCCAAATCTGGAAACAAATGTGCCCAATCAGAGATGAGTAGATGAAGAAATCTGAGTATATATATAAAGAATGCATTACTACTCAGCTATGAGAAAACATAGTCTTGCTATTTGCTCTAAAATGGATGATATTTTATACTCAATTCTCTTCCACAATTGATTGCTATAATTTTGTGGGAAATATTAATGAAACATAAAATACTTTATAGTACTCTAAAACTATTTTTTATGTAGAATTAAAGAAGAATGATAAACTAATTTTAAGATCCTATTGGCAACATAACATTGACACTTTTTGTTTTTTAATTTTTTTAGTGAAACACCATGAGGTATAGTTGTAGACTTATACATTTTTGTGCTTGGGTTTCAATTGTGCAATGATCAAGTACCCATCCTTACACCAGTGCCCATTTTTCACCACCATGGATCTCAGTGTCCCTCCTGCTCCCCGTCCAGCCCACTCCCGTCCCACCTCTGTAGCAGGGCATTTGTTCTCTCTCTCCTTTTGGATGCTGTGGTTTACAAAAGAGGCATTGAGTGGCAATCATGTTTGGTCTATAGTCTACTTTCAGCATGCATCTCCCATCCTGGGAGGATCCTACCAACCCCCTTTAATTGGTTCTCCCTTCTCTATCTGAGCTGCCTTATCCCCTAGCATATGCGGCTGGCCTCCAAGCCATGGAGTGAACCTCCTAGTACTTACCTTGACTATTCTTGGGTGTTAGTTCCTATTTTGTTTCTTTATGTTCCCCAGGTAAATGCAGTCTTTTTATGTCTGTCCCTTTCTTTCTAACTCATTTCGCTTAGCGTGATACTTTCCATGTAGTACCACTTGTATGTAAATTTCATGACTTCATCTTTTCTAAGAGCTACATAGTACTCCATTGTGTAGATGTACCAAAGTTTCTTTGACCAGTCATCTGTTCTCCGCCACTCAGATTTTTTCCAAATTCTGGCTATTGTAAACAATGCTGCAATGAACAAACAAGTGCAGATGTTACTTTGACTATACTTTTTTGCCTCTCTGGGATATATTTCCAGGAGTGGTATTGCTGGGGCAAATGGGAGCTCAATTTCTAATTTTTGGAGAATCGTCCACACTGTTTTCCAAAAGGGCTGAACCAGTTGGCATTCCCACCAGCAGTGAAGGAGGATCCCTTTCTCACCACATTCATGCCAGCACAGGTTGCTTTTATTCTTTTGGTTGTGGGGCAGTCTTTAGTCCATTTTGATCTTAATTTTGTATCTGGTGTTAGGCAGAGATCTGAGCCCATTTTTTTGCATGTAGCTGTCCAGTTTTGCCACCACAATTTGTGAAAGAGGCTTTCCTTACTCCACTTCACATTTCTTACTCATTTATCTAAGGTTAGATGATAATATGTTTTAGGGGAGATGTTTTGTTGGTCTGCAGCTCTACCTCTGTTCCAGCACAATGCTGTTTTAATTATCATTGCTTGTAGTATAGCTTGAAGTTGGGGAGGTTGGTTTCTCCTATTTTCTTTTTCCCAAGAATTGCTTTAGCTATTCGTGGGGGCTTATTTTTCCATATGAAATTCAGGAGTGCTCCATTTCTTTGAAGAATGTCATGGGTATCGTTATAGGGATCACATTGAATTTGTACAATGCTT